ATATTGTTCTTGAACTAGGTTATATTTTATTGCAAATCATTTCTAGAGGCTGTATTCAAATGCCTCCTCCACTAACACCCCCAGCCCACTCCTGAGGCTGCAGCCAAGAAAGGATATTAGCATGTGAAGCTGCTCTGGAGCTTTAAAACTCACTGTCTCGATCTGTATGTTAGAAACTTATTTATACATAGGGAAGGTCTACATTTCCAGACCTTTGCAACAAAAGTGCTTTTAAATTATGTTATCACATCACATGCTCTAGGAGAGGATAGAGCCAAGCGCATATCGTCCTAAAATATGGAACTGGGAGAATGGTTTAGAGCCACAACCAAGTTCTTTCCTCTACTACACTCTGGCAAAATCACTCAAATCAAGAGGCAGAACTCAGCCTGCGAGCCTCTCCTTTCGCTATGGCTAGTTTTCTTCCCCTCTTGGGGATGCTGACGCTAGAAGAAACTATTTAGTTACTGAACCTTTGTTTTAGGGCAGACAGTGGTGAAGATTTAGATCTCAAATAGGCAGAACCAGCCCTTTAGTCTCCGTTTAACCAAACCGTTAACAATCTTGCAGGACGAAAGAGCCAAACACGGTGAACCCAGTTACCTGAAGGATCCTGTACATTGGGCACAGTGAGTATTCATGTGAAGACAGTGAATTAGTTGATTTTCAACTCTTACCGCTGAGACACAGCTGCATTTCAGAAGTGGTACAACTTGCACCTCCCTTTACAAAGGTTGCTGAATCACCAGCCGTGTGTCAGCAGGGCAATGCTTCTCCCCTTTCTTTATGTCCTACAGAAATGAAAAAGTTGGTGTATACCACCAAGACATAATGATGCTTTGCACCCCACCAGCTGAGGAAAGCAAGTAGCTTTAGGTCTGTACCTCCATAAGGATGACAAAACCACGCTACCCAAAAGCTAACTTCAGTCCACGGGGAGCTATCAGTATGAGGTGCCTCCCCAAATATCAGCATTTCCTTTGGCTTTCTGGATGCAGCTTTACACATACACACACACAAAGCATGCAGCGCAGGAAGTGGCCTTTCACTCTTACTCAATTAAAAATTGCAAGGCTAAGAACATTCTTGGGTCAGGCTTACAGCATCAAAATTCTCTGAGGCCAGATCACCCCAAGGGGGTCAGCTCTTCCCAGATCGAGCCTGCATGCAAACAGCTGCTGGGCTGCAGAAGGCTAACTAAGTTCTTTGGTTCAAACCGGCACGGGAGTGCCAGGATCAGAAAACCAAGCTGGAATGCTACATGTGCTTGGAAAAGCATGGTCCCCAAGGAAATAGTCTGAGGTGCCTTCAGAAGACAATGAGGAAGGCGGAAAATGCCCTCAAAGTTGCTCAACTCATGCAAAACAGTCTTTCCTTAGAGTCAGCCAGGGGCTTTCAGAGTACAATCCCTTCCTTCAAATCCAGAAATACCAGAGTGAAGCTGTTGGCACGCTAACAGAACAACGTAGGATGAAGTGTCAGGAGTCTGTGGATAACACCTGGCTTTCCACTTCCTTCACATCAGGCACCGGCAACGCTCGCTGCCAACACGCAGCCAGGAATCAATCAGCACCGAGGTAAAGAGCATCTGGCTGTCACTCAACATTAGCTGACACTGTAAGCGGGGGGGTGTGTGTGGATTTAATCAAGTCTTCTTCTATGATACCCAAAGATGTACATGTACGTACTACATCAGCCTGGAGCTTTAGGCACTCATTTGGACATCCAGTCTCATGCCTGTGCTGATCCACGGATCCAAAACCTCCCGATGAGCTTATCATATTATCTCTCTAGGAACAAAGACACACACACCCCCCCAAAAAGCTTCAAACTGGTACAAAACGCAGCAGCCCATCTGCTTCACAAAAACGGTTGCCATGAATACATCCCTGCTGCTCTGCGCCTGCTATTTTTAAAGATACTTGGGAGGCAACTGAATTCACTGGCAGTTGTGCTATTTAAATGTCTGGATTAATACTATTCAAGGAATATACCGGTGCTTCTCCGTGGGGAAATACAGCACCTGCCTGGCCTACACCTGGCTCAGATGCATTTTCAGAAGACCAACTTCTGTAATCCAACAGCAGGGCGATAAACCCACAGACAATAGATGCTTTTCACACAGAGCACTGTAAACTGAAACGGGGCGAGTCTTATCCTCACAAGCCCCACCAGAGCATAAGGAGACTTTGTAAAGGGAGGGGAAAGGACCAGCAAAAGGAAATTTACAGCTGCAACTTTATTTGCTGAAATACCCATGGTTTAATACAAGGCCTGAGCACAGCAAGTGTGGAAAAAGGGTACCTGCCTGCAGAAAAACAAAAACAAAACCAAACAAACCCCAGAAAACCCAAGAGAGGCAAATCCCCAAAGCCAAATGTGCTGACAGAACTTGGACCTTTTCCAGAGTGCCTTGAATTCCTAAGAGCGTTAAGTCTTAATGCATTTCAGACAGGTTCCCCTCCAGCCAGGCTGCTTTGTGCCAGCCTGGGCAGGGGAGGTGTGAGCAGCTCACAGCCCGGGAGGGGGGTCCCAGCCCAGGCTGTGCCCCATGGGACCCATGGCACCAGGCTGCAGCAGGTACCTGCAACCCGGGCTGAAGTGGACTTGGGACTGGGATGGGCTGACGGGAGCTTTCTGCTCCGCTCACAGGTCAAATTAACCCGGTGCCACCTAGCAACTCATTGGATATACCATATCCCCACCTCTCGCCACAGACATGCATGAGCTGCCAAGTAAGTCTATTGTAAATAACCTGAAAATTCGGTCTCTGGAGATTCTTATCTTCTCAGACAACACTATTCTTTCCACATCATAGGTCACTTCATCAAGAAAAGAGAGAACTGTTTTAGTGCGTCCTATGAAGGGTTGCTATACCTATTTCTCCCCCCAGCTTACAGACTCCAAACGACATGGGCCACCTTGTTCTCTGTAAACTCATGGGCAGAAAGAGCTCCTAGTCTGCTCCATCATAGCTGCGTGCCTCCTATTGCCACAGCCCAAATCAATTTCAGAGCAAACACCAGAATTTTGGCATAATCAGCTCACATAAGATGACCTGACAGACATTACAACCTCAAATGCAATCGCTTCTGGAAACGGTCGATTTCAGAGAAACAATCACAGATCCTAAATAACACACAGACTTCTAACACAACACGGACACAGCATCTCCTTCCCTTTCATCTTTCCCCAGATCCAAAGAGTATCAAAAAGGTCACGGAAGTGACTAAAGGAGCATACAGCAGAGCCAAGGCATGATCTGGGAGCCTCTCCACACAGTAACTCTTCTCCTCACCTGGAAATTCATCCGTCCTGAAGTTTCTCTAACTGCAACAGGCAAAAATATTTGGAAAAGGTCAGATGACTCAATACCACTGAGACCTGTAACTTTTCAAGCAGGAAGAGGGTTCCACGTGCTTTCAGTTAGAGTACAGACAGGTTAGGGGAAAGGCGGGAAACCCAACAGCCTACTTCCCCCTTGCTCATTTATAAGCAATCAAGTCAGTTGAGACTAATGTTATGCGTTTGGTTTAAATTACAGATCATTTCGCTGCTATCAGCAAACCTCAGCGACAGCTCCTAGAAGCTGCTTTCAGGGACAACAAGGAGAGGGAGATCAACATTTCTCAGCACAGGCTTTTCCTGAGACACCCTCCAGTTCGACTCATTTCATTAGGACTCTGGGAAGCAAAGGGGTTAATTTCTTTCCAAGTTCACATACTGTTTGAATTCCTTAGATAAGCTGCTTCCACCAAACCCAAGGATCTAGCCTCAGGGGAGAACACTGTAAGGAAAAGCTCTTTTGATAGATTTTCTTCAAAAGAGAAATTAATTCAAAGTCCATTTTTGGAGGTGTTCCACACCCACGGCTTCTACAGACTTCAGATGAGGTTGCACTGTGCCTCTGGAAGGAAAACCAAGCTTTGAGCAATGCCCACTTCTATTTGCAAGACAGAAACGTTTTACACTCGCCCAATAAAATCTTCTCTCCTGCAATGAGAAAGGTCAGTGTGCAGCACCATAAAGAGGAAAATCAGACTAAACCAGGCTTTAGCTCTGGGATAAAGCAGTTAACAGCTAGCACAAACTAATCCTGTACCTTTAAAACTGAGCAGTCACTCGGGAAAGCAAAAAAACAAGTTTTGAAAGCCACTGAAGGCTTCCTTCACATCTTGAGGCAGAAAGAAAGCAAGTCCAGGCTGTTATGGAATTCGCGTTTGCATACTGCTGGTGCATAGTTGGAAACAAAGCAAGTTTTTATTAGCAATTAGTAGCAGGAGTGGGGACAGACCTGCCTGAAGGAGTCACCAATACACAATGGTAGAACAACCTTATAAGGTGTGTAGCAGAACAATCCCAATATGACAGATCACACAGAAAAGAAAATACTGCAGCTATAAACCTGGAGATGTGGTGGCATCAGTTCAAGGAGATAAACTGCGTCTTTAACACTGACAACTTTGACTCCAGGCAGCAGTTTTCTCTCGCACAGCAATTTGCAATGCAAAGCAAGCTACTTCCACTCTCACCAAGAACAGTAATTCGGAAGCAAAGGGTGAGAGCAAAGTTGGGAAGGGTTGATTTGCTTAGGTACAGTTTTCTACACAGCTGACTTTCATGTCCAGCATGAAAGCAATATAGCCATAGGGTCTGAAACAGCGTGTGAGAACTTGGCAAGGAGGGGGTAGGGGGGGAAATAAGAGAGGATTTAATCCACAAACCCCAGTCCCTTTCAAGGGAGCGATCTGCCGCTCCCTCTCCACATCTCTGAAAAATTCAATCCAGCTCTGATCAGCCAACACCACCCAGGTTCAGAGCTCTCCAGCTATGTTCTTCCCCCGCTTCAGAGAATGATGTGGCATGTGGGGCCCTACAACAGAACTATTAAAATCCCATCAAGGGGCAGGCAAGTGGTAGCCATATGCTAAACCGCTCAAGTGAAGAATAACCAGGGAAAGAAGCACAGCCAGGAAGCAAGTCTGCAAGCAGCTTCTTACCTGGTAGATAGGCTAGCAAAGTCTCCTCCATCTAGCAGCCTGATTTTGCAGAACAGAACCCCATTCACAAAGGGGACAGCAGTCAGCTCTTCTAGAGTGAAACTTGTCTGAAACTTGAATTTCTTCTTCTTCATCAGGAAAGCCATGGGCAAATTCAGTGTGGAAAGCCCAGGGATTCCAAACAAGATCAGGGAGGAGCGGCTCAGAACACAGACAGACAAGAAGAGGAATGGCACTCGTTCCAGGAGCGCAAGCAGGGAGTAAATTCCAGTTCAGTTACAACGACGGCCCAGCTTCAAACACGCAATTCTCTTCTCTTTGGTGGTCGGATCTGGCTGTGGGATCATCGCCACGGCAGGCTTCAGGTGAGGAGGAAGAGGTCAGATTAAATCTCTGCAACATCTCCAAGGGAAAAGGAAGGGAGAGAAGTTGGTCTCAGCTCCAGACCAGCAGGAGCTGTCCCAGTTAGAGGCTGCAGTGCTCCGTCTTCAGCACAACCCCTCCAGAAAGCATCTCTCCTGGGAAGTCATCTTGAGTCTCTGAAGAAGCCTTAAGTCTGCGGGCAGCACATTCAGAAAGCTTCCAGCTTCTATCTCCTCCTCTTGTGCAAATTCTTGATACAGGTCTCCAGGGTCAGCCTTTGGGAGGGAAATGAGTAAATTAGTCCCAGCCAGTCTCAGGCTCCTCCTCCTTCTCCTATAAAACCTGTTTGGATGGGTACTATTCAGTCCAGACTCATACCAGTCTCAAGAGGTATGGCCCCAATTAGCATTAGCCTGGCCCCAACATCCTCTTTCCCCTTTTTGCCTACAGCAAGCTTCGCTGTTGTCATCCCCCTCGTAATTTCTGTTTTGCAAAGCAGCTAATAAAATCTGCTCTATTTTCACCCATCAGCTTTAGAAGTAGTTTACAGAGCAAGATCCATCTTACACATAGTCTAATAAGAGTAAGCAAAGGTGTCACAAGAAATGCAAAATCTGTTTCTTTTCTGGTTTTCCAACCAGCCCTAAGCGTTAGCACCTGTATCTTATAAATGGAGAGACCAGCACAGAGGAAAAAAAAAAAAAAAAAGCAGCCTGCTCCAGATTACCCGGCGTAACAACCGAATCAGGTCATCTGGCTGTCCAATAGCCAGGCCCACCAAGTATCCTGCCTTCCCCCAGCACCAGGTCCACACCAAGCCGTGCTCCACACAGTTCAGTTTTGGGGCTGGAGCCGGTCGTTTCGTTACACATTTACACAACACCCAACCCAGGCAGGCCGCGAGCTGATTAGCATCTAAAAGGGACGAGGTTACGAACACGGGGCAGTAAACAATCCTCACCGATACTAAGAATTAATGGCTGCAAACCAGCGCAGGCAAAGCTCCTGCTGCCTGCACGGGTGTGCGGTTCAAGCCCCTCTCCCGCTCGGGTGGGAACGGACGAATCCAACCGGCTCTGCCCGCTGCACCGGGGCCCGGGCACCTCCCAGAGACAGCGCTCTCCTGCGGCTGCCTCCGAGCGGAGCGAGGGGACCGACTGGCGACTGCTCTGCGCCACCAGCCCCCTCCAGCAGCCATAGCTGCCCCCTCTACCCCTGCGCCCAGCTGCAGCTAGGTCTCAGCCTGCCTTCCCGCCCCTCGACCGTGCACCAAGATGCAGACAGGTCTCAGCCCACCTCTGGGCCCCGTGGACCGCACGCTGGGCTGCGGTGAGGTTGCAGCCCATCCTCTAGCACCCCTGAGCCATGCACTAAGCTGTGGTCAGGTCTCAGCTCGCTTTGTGAGCCACGCACCAACCGGTGGCCGGGTCTCAGCCTGCCTCCGGCCCCGTGAACCACTGACTGAACCGCAACCAGGTCTCAGCCCCTCTGCCAGCCCCAGGGGCCAGGCACTGGGCCGTGGCCGGGCCGCAGCCCACCCCTGGCTCCGTGAACCATGCACCGAGCTGCAGCCAGGTCTCAGCCTCCCCTCCCAGCCCATGCACCGAGCTGCAGCCAGGTCTTAACCCCTCCCCTCCCAGCCTCAAAATAAACAGCCGAGCCACCACCGCGCTTCGGGAATACCAACCCGACACTACGTAACCCTCCTCCCCGGAGAGGGGGGAGGGGAGCGCGAGAGCGGCGCCGTCCGATTGGACAAGCAGAAGGAGGCGGGCAGAGCAGAGCAAGATGTTGATTGGTTATTTTGGCACGGGGTGGGGAGAAGAGCGTGGGGATTGGAGGCGGAGGCTGTCGTTTTGAGCAAGGCTCGCCCCCTGGCTGAGGGGGTGGGCGGGAAGCTGGGGGTCTCTGTG